CTAAACTTTAGTTCTCTGATACATCTAAGCATCTTAATTATATCTTAGAGCTTAGTATAATTGATAACATACTACCTCTTCCTTTGTGTGTTACACTCTTTCTTCTAGTATTAGTGCAATATTTATTCTATAGGACTCCTTGCAATGTCTTAAAATAATAATATTTTGATTCAAGAGGATCTATCCAGCACTCAACTTGAGGAAATGAGATAGAAAGGTAAAAGGCAAGAGTGTGTAAGATTATTAGAGGATAAAAGCCAAATGAGTAAAATACAAGAGAACTGGTGAAAAAGAAAACTTTTTTCTTAACTAATCTTTTTGTAAGAAATCTTCTTAAAATATCAAGTGAGCATCAAAGCCCTACTAACATAATGCTCCTTATAGGGGCTATGCATGCAGAATTTGCACGACTTAGTCAGAAGATAGATAACTTGAGTAGTGATCGAAGTGAAGCAAAACACAGGACCCCTAATACAAGGCGGCCTAGAACTCAACATCTTAAAAATGAGGTCGAGTCCTGTAATGATGAGAGGAAAAATAGGGTGGAGAGGAAAGAAGAGAGGAGTGACAGTAATATCAGCTCTATCAAGATGAGAATACCATCTTTCAATAGTAGGAATAATGTTGAAGCATACTTGGAGTAGGAGAGGAAGGTAGAATTAGTCTTTGATTGTCATAACTATCACGAAGAAAAGAAGATCAAACTAGCAGCAGTAGAGTTCACTGACCACACCTTAGTGTAATGGGATCAACTACTCCTCACTAGACAGCGTAATAGAGAGTGACTAATTTCCTCTTGGAGAGAGATGAAACCAATCATGCGAAAAAGGTTTGTACCCTCTTACTATTATAGAGAGATACATTAAAAGTTACAATGCTTAACGCAAGAGTCTATGTCCATTGACGATTATCACAAGGAGGTGGAGATGGCCATGATCAGGGCCAATATAAAAGAAGATCTTAAAGCAACCATGGCGAGATTCCATGGAGGTCTCAACAGAGACATCACCAACATGGTGGAATTACAGCACTATATGGAGGTGGAAGACATGCTGCACATGGCCATGAAAATTGAGAGACAACTCAAGTAAAAAATGCAGGGCATATCATATGTAACCCCTACTTATAGCTCAGAATGACCTAAGAAAGAAGAAAACAAGGGAACAAATGAAAAGAAGGAAAAGTTTGCACTACTTGATACAAGAGGTATGATACCTAACTCATCTTAAAAGCATAGTATAATTAAATATTTTAGGTATCTCGAAACTAGACATATCACTTCTCAGTGCCCAAATAAAAAGATCATGTTATTGAGAAATGATGGTGGAATTAATAGTGTTAATGATTACGAGAGCAAAGATAATGATAGCATGCCACCATTAGAGGATGTTGAGGAAATTATTCAATATCCAGCTAAGAGGGAAGCTTTGGTTATCTAAAGAGTTTTAAACGTCCAAGTCAAGTCGGAAAAAAGTAACCAGAGAGAGAATATCTTCCACACTCATTGCCTTATAAATGAAAATGTATGTAACCTCATTATAGATCGGGGTAGTTGTACCAACGTTGCTAGTACTATTCTAGTTGATAAACTTGGGTTAACATGTACGCACCATCCTCATCTTTACAAGTTGCAGTGGTTGATTGATTGTAGAGAGATAAAAGTGACTAAGCATGTATTAGTTTCCTTCTCTATTGGACAATACACTGATAAAATATGTTGTGATATTGTGCTCATGCATGCTAGTCACATCCTACTTGAAAGACCTTGATAGTATGATAAGTATGCAACTTATGATAGCTATAGGAATCGTTATTCCTTCAGCATGAGTGGTCAGAATTTTACACTTACTCCACTATCACCTGAGGAGGTATTCAAAGATTAGTAGCAACGCAAAAACTCTATAAAATCTAGAGGAAATAAATGATTGAGGAACATGAAAAAAGAATGTTACTGCAGGATATTTTCTTAAAGAAAATAGAATTGGTGAAACCTCTGCATAAGAAGTGTCTGATTCGAGGACGAATCGTTTTTGAAGGGGGAGGGGATGATATGAGCATGGACATAGACTAGAAAAAGAAGGCTCAATCCAAAGAAAGATGATGAAATAGGCCAAAAATGAGATCTTATGGCCGACCCTAAATTTCTATATGTCTTCCCATTAATTTGACTACAATCTCTTTTAATTAAAGAGGAAGACTAAAATTATCTTAGTTAGGAAATTAGCTTTTAATATTTAATTTATTTCCATATGTCTACCCTCTTAATTTGACCACAATCTCTTTTAATCAAAAGTGAAGACTAAATCCATCTTACTTAGAAAATTAGTCTTTAATTTTTAATTTTTAATTTATTTCCTATGTAATTGTAAATTAAATTAAGAGATTTTTTTTTTTATTTACTTGGCTTACCCTATAAATAGACCATCAAGTCTTTATTGTAAGATATTCAAAAATTATTTCAATAATATTAAGAGTATTTCTTTTCAAGAGAGGTTCTTCTACCATCTTGTTAAGTAAGAACTGGATCTACTTATCAAGGTACGATCTTGTGGCATTTTTTCATTCTATTTCTTTCATTTTCAGTGACCTTAATTCCTATCATTCTTGGTAGTGAGTTAAGTAGGAAGGGTTTCTATATGACCAATTCTTTTAATGCCTTTTAAATAAAATTGTGTGAGTTTCTGATCATATTGGTTAATCTTGGGTTCCACATTAGTGTGTGTTAGTGCAGCTCAAAGAGTAGTAAAGAATCATCACTGTGATTAAAGCTCAACCACCAAAGACTTAAGAATGGTAAGATTCATCTAACCTGCTAACCTAGATTGTGAATTAGTGCAATCTAAACCATGTTTAATTTTGATAAAATTGAAAGCTATAAGAGATAAGGGATTGCTAATTGTCGTTATTGGAATGTATATAAGTTGTGATTCCATTGGGATCTCATGCGAATAAAAAGAGCCAGTGAGAGCGGCAAAGTAGAAGGCTCAAAGTGGGTTGGGCTCTGAGTTTAGTTTTGGGCTCCTAGTGAGTCGATATTGAGCTTGATAGTGAGCTTAAGCCAAATCACAAATGGGCCAAACATGGGGAAACAATCATGACCTAGCAGGAAGTCTAGGATATTTTAAAATTTTTTAGTGGGCCAAGCCTAATAAGTAAAGAGATTCGGTCCTAATAAATTTAATCTTGAAGTCTTAGAACGGGCTTATTTCAAAAAGCCCAAATGAATAAACCTAATTCACTTGTGAAGCTAAAAGAAAAACCCTTTAAAAAATGGTGAACATTAATTAAAATAAACCAAGTGATAATTAAGAAAATGGATCTACATGTGGGCCTAGATCCATGATAAAATTTAAGAATAATATGACAAACAAACTAGGCTAATAATGAAATAACGAGTTGTGTCAAAATTTAAAGTTCGGTAAAAATAAAAGGAAAGAGGCTTATAACAGGAACAATGAGTTAATAGACCAAATAATTCAAAATAAATGGAAGGGATGATTTTAAATGAAAATTATATATAGATACATAAAAAATAGTATCGCAGAGATAAGTATATGTACATATAAAATGAAACAATAATAATAATAATGTTATGGCTCATGAACATAAACAACAATGAAATTGAAATAAGGGACAACAATAAAAACAATTGGCCTAAATAAATAAAAGGGATATTAATGGGGTGAGGGGTCGCTTGCCAGGAGTGGCGAAGTGAGCTGAGTGTGTGGCCATGCGATGGCCGGTGGGTGCCAAGGATGGTGAAATAGTATGTGTGGCCTTGAGGTGGCCGGTAGTGCCAGGGTGGCGGAACTGTGTGTGTGTGGCCTTGAAGTGACTGGTGAGTACCAAGGATGGTAGAACAGTGTGTGTGTGTGTGCGACCTTGAGGTGGCCAGTAAGGGGCGAGTATGAGTATGTGGCCGTCACGGTCGACTGTGAGCCCGTCTGTTGGTAGTATCATATGGTTTCCATTGATATTGCTTGGTGATTTATGTTCTCGTATTAGTGGTAGCATTGAATACTCTCTCTTGATAATGATGTAAACGGCATCGTACGATGAGACACCGATATCCAATTATGATATAAGAGGTTAATGGTACGTTAAATAAATATTTACATTTGTAGTTCCTTAACACTGAGATTGTTGCATTCATTAGAAGAAAAGTGAGAATAATTATAGTGTGAATATAATAATTGAAAATTTGAAACTCTTAATAATTATAGATTATCTGATATCTCAATGAAAAATTTAATTATTACGTGAGATAAGGGTAAATGAACAATAATAGTAAAAATATAAGGGATAATATTAATACATGTGGATAGTTACAAAGAAAGCACTCAAACTTTTAAGAGATTAAAGAACATAATAATTTAAACGCTCTTGGAGGTAGAATGTAGGAAGACCCACTTGTATTAATTACAATTTGTAAGTTAACTTATTAAATTATTCTTACTGAGCACGTGTAGCTCACCCCGTTGTATTTTTTCAAAGTAAGATATTTCACAATCAGATCCAAATAAGTTAAAGCAATTACCAGACCCCTTACGCATGTAGAGACCACATAGTCCATAAAGGAAATTGATATATGTTTCCAAACTTTAAAAATTTATTTAGTTTCGAGAATGTAGATATCGGGATGAAGTGATGTAAATAATTGTAATAAAATTTGAAATAGAACTCGCTTAAATTCTTCATTTTTCAAAATGAACTACTGTATATTAAATGATTTAGTACAAACAAACATTCGTGATTCTAGCTAGATCACAGGATGTTATATAAATTATATCATACAATAATTTAGATTTAAAATATAAATCTATAATAAAAATAAATTTAAAATATTAAAAATCAGTAGGAGCATTTTTACAAAATAAAAATTAATTGGGCCATGAGTCTTGAAATGTGTCAGACCATTTAGATGTTAAGTGGCCCCGAAAGTTTGATAGGCCTTTAAAATTGCCTGGACATTAAGATTAGAGAAGAAATGGTGAACAACACCCAACCTCATGGTTCGAATGAATCACCTGCCCATCTACATTTCATCAACATCAAAATAACCACATTAATAATCAATAAATCTACATGCCGGCCACATGACTCTTTTCTGTAATTTTTTCATCTAAATCATATCACCTTCGCATATATATAACATCAAATCATCAATACCAAGAAAAGTACAGCACTACAGAGACAGAGGAAGAGAGAGAGAGATGCCAGAGTACTGTGTAACTGGTGGAACGGGATTCATAGCTGCTTATTTGGTAAAGTCGTTGCTGGAGAAGGGACATGCTGTAAGGACAACAGTAAGAGACCCAGGTATCTGTGTATATATATGAATATTAACTCTTTTACTAATCTCTTCTACTTGATTATATATAAATACGTACTACCCATATCAACTTCATTATGTAATTTCAATTACTTATTGTTCTTGCAATTCGAATGTAAAGGAGATGTTGGGAAAGTAGGGTTTTTGTGGGAGTTCAATGGAGCCAAAGAGAGACTGAAGGTACTGAAGGCTGATTTATTAGTGGACGGAAGCTTTGATGAGGCTGTACAAGGTGTTGATGGAGTGTTTCATACTGCATCACCCGTGCTGGTTCCATATGATGACAACATTCAGGCAAGACTTGATTTACCCATTTACTTCATCATCACTTTCATCATCTAACCCACTTTTGCATTACCCAAATTAATCTTTAACATAATAATTTTTTTTATTAAAAAACCCAGAGACTGTTCAAATGACCACCACGCGAACTATTGAGATTTAATTAATTTTGTACAAACCAATGTTTGCTAAGTTGGAATATTGTTTAGGATTGTTGGAGGAATCTCTAAAATTTAAGATTAACCAATGGAATTAGATGAACTCATAATCAATCTCTCTCAATATTGCCTTGTGGCTATTTGGCAAGCAGAAATTTTGATGGTCTTTGAGTTTGTAGATACACACACACACACAGAGTTGGTTGAGAGTTTTGTTCACTTGTAAATCACATTGCAGGCAACTTTAATTGATCCTTGTATAAAGGGCACCTTGAATGTGATGAATTCCTGTGCAAAATCGACAAGCTTGAAAAGGGTTGTGCTCACATCTTCCTGCTCTTCTATTAGATATCGCTATGATGTCCAGCAAGTTTCTCCTCTCAACGAATCACACTGGAGCGACCCAGAATATTGCAAACGTTATGATGTAACTAACAATATATACCTATACACATACTGCATTTTAATTATATAGAAGTATGTAATTGAACTGTACTTTTCAAGTGAGGTGTGATTTATACATCTATATGCAGCTGTGGTATGCTTATGCAAAAACTATCGGAGAAAAGGAGGCATGGAGGGTAGCCAATGAAAATGGGATTAACCTAGTGGTTGTGAATCCCTCTTATGTAGTAGGTCCATTACTTGCACCACAACCCACCAGTACACTTCTAGCAATATTGTCCATTGTCAAAGGTCAGATTTCCATCACAAGCAAATTATATGCTTTGTAGTTTGTGGTATATTTATGTTCTGATTTTTGTTTTATACATGTATTTGATCAGGTGTTGTAGGAGAATACCCAAATGTAACAGTGGGGTTTGTGCACATAGATGATGTAATTGCTGCTCACATTTTGGCGATGGAGGAAACCAGTGTTTCTGGAAGGCTTATATGCTCAAGCTCAGTAGCAAATTGGTCAGAGATAATTGAGATGTTGAGGACAAAATATCCATCCTACCCGTATGAAAACAAGTGAGTGACCCACCAAATAATCGTTCCATTATGAATTTCAAAGTCTTAAGCATGACATACATGGATATGTGTGTGTGTGTGTGGATGGGTGTGTAGGTGTAGCAGCAAAGATGAGACATAACCCCACCATAGTATGGATACAAGTAAGATTCATGAGTTTGGATTCCCTGCTTTCAAGACAATCCCTCAAATGTTTTATGAGTGCATCAAGAGCTTTCAAGACAAGGGTTTTCTCTGAATCTTAATCTTCTTCTGTTTTGTCATTGTATGTGGACTCCTGACATGCTTAATTTTTCTTCTCCATAAATGTCCCTCAAGTTTGTTACTTTTTCCTTAAAGAAAAAGTTAGTATTGAACTTGAAATAGAAAAGCCTAGCATCTTCTTTTTAGATAAATTCAGAGGCATCCTACGGCAATTGAGGGGCTTGATGGGATTGGGGATGATTTGCTGGAATGCCAAGGATCTCTTCACCAAGTTCATTGGAGACTGCAGAAATTACAGCCTTCAGGGCTATTCACAACTAATTAATAGAAGGCGATTCACTCACAAAAACTCATCGCTTCACTTTACCCGAATACTCACATGATATAATGAACTAGGTGTATTGATAACTCAACAAATGTTTAAACTCTTTCTACTTCTCTTGGATTCTTAGATTTGTACATCAGATAGTGCATGTGCTAGTTAGGGAGGCTCTGAATATACCCAATTGCTATTTTGGTTTCTCTGGCAGCCACTCTTTGTCTTTTACGATTCCTCTATTTGGGTTTGGAGGCGTTCTTGAATAGCGAAGCTTCAAACCCATATGTGGACATTGTAAGTCCAAGGCTTTGGGTTAACCCAATTTAAGGCCCATCTACCCTATAATTGACTTGTAGAATTTTGAATTTGTCTTTTTTAATACTAGCTAAGGGGATCACTGCCTAGTCATAATCATTGTATTAACATGATCATTGTATAGAAAATAATACAGCAGAAACAGAAAGACTGAATTAATTAATTAATTAATTAATTAATTTGTACGTAGAGAATCAAATTTAGAAGCCCACTCATTCAATTCCTCAAAATCCAAACCCACCCACTATCTCATTCATTATATTTTCCCGGACTGGCTGAAAGCAATTTAATTGCAGCCCAATTATATACATATATATATATTATAAACTTCGATTCTAAAGGTATATATATTAGGAACGCATAGCTTGTGTCTCAAATAATTCAAAGTTGAAAATCCTTAATAATTTCCAAGAATTTTGAAGTCAACTTGGAAGGTTTACTATTTATTACTTGGTTTGCCCATAATTAATACCATGATTAAGTAGTAATTAACAATTTCAGACTGTAGGAGCCCTATCAGCTATGAAAAAGATAAGTATTTGATTATTATGAGTTGATCAGCTACACTAAAATAAATATTATAATTATCTTGTCAATGTAATTTTAGTATTTTAATATTGGATAATAAAAGATTATTCTAAACATTTATAAAAAAAAATATCATTTTCATCCATCCCACATATACTTATTCCACGTACAAGTTGTGTAAATTCATATACTCAATGGCAAAAAAAAAAAAATTAACACACATAACAACATATAGACAAGCAAGAAAATATCAAACACCCTGTGGACCTAAAAATCTAATTTTTCAAAGTTTTCCTCTTGAGAAAAATTCTCTGTCAAGAAGTTTCCGGGTAACCAAACAAGTGCTTGGTTCTTTTATGTTATTCCTGTTCCCACTACATTACACATCTATATACGTGGGTCAATACATATCTCCTATTTTTAATCCCTCCAAAAAGGGGGAGGGGGAGGGGGAGGGAGGGAAAAAAAAACCCTAAATTCTACAACATCTTCAACCTCAACTACCCCAATCTTTATTAGCTTGCATTCAAGTCAACTTAATTTATGGATTCTCTGTTTTTTGGTGGACAAAAAATTTATGGATTCTATAGGTGCGGTAAAGTAGTGTTTGGATTCCTTCGGTTTTTTTTTTTTTTTTTTGGGTATGTTTAATTATAATATATTCATAAAATAATAAATTTTATATTTTTAGTCAAATTTAAATTTATAATTAAAAATTAATTACTAAAATCTTAATTATTAAATTAATATGTTGATAATTTAGTATAAAATATGTTAAAAATATCATTCAAAATATTTGATTATTTAAATTAGAAGGAGATGAGATAGTAATATAATATTATTTTAATAAAAAGGTCGGGCAAGTAGATGATACATTAATTAAATAAAATAAAGTAAAAGACAACTTGGTCCCTCAAAAATGGAATAAATACTTTCATATAATAAAAACCCACCTTTCTTTCTTTCTTTCCCAACACTTTTGTTTTTTATTTTGTATATTTATCTTCCTCCAAGATAATGACAAATCAACCCATTTTTAGTTATTATATTTATATAAAATAAATAAGAACCGAGATGGGGATTATGTTCCAAGTCATTTGAAAAAGATAAATTACAATAAATAATTTCGCATTTATTATGAAATCTTTAAATTTTACACGTTGTATAAATCTCAATTTTAAACAAACTCTATCGTGTTTTTTTTATATATATATGTATATAAAATATGTATAAAACTATAAATGACGTAATTAAATTATATTAAATCATCGTAATTTATTAAGGTATAGAATTGTGAGAGAAGGATCATGCCATTTTGCTTTTCGGTTTTAATATTATTTTATCTTCATTATTTCGTTGTAAAAAGTAACTCCGCGACGTCACCATTCCTTTTCGCTAATTACAAAAATATTCATTAAGCTTATTTTCCTTTTCAATTCCAACCAATTTCCCATTCAGCAATCCTCCAATTTCGAGTTTGATCTTATTTGATATAAGAAACATCCGTTATTAGAATATCGTGTTTTTAATTTATTGAATAATTAATGGAAATGTGATGTTTGCTATCATATATATGTATGTATTTATTATTAGAGAACAAATATATGTTAATAGTATCCTAAGAAATTAGGCAAGTAGAATTAAGTTTTGTCCATTGGGAAAACGATGAGGCATAACATAATCATCCATAGAAAATCAAACTCCGGTCACGTTCCGGGTTAAAATATTAATCCACCCACGTTCGGTGTGTATCAACAATTTACCATAAAACCTAAAGAGCATAAGGTCACGTGAGTCTGTCACGTGCACCGCACGAGACAATTAAATAAAACGTGGGAGGGAGGACACTGACACTGACACAAACACGCACGCATTGTCACAACAAGTAATTAGATAAGGGATTTGAATCCAGTTCCAGCTTTTTAAAACGGAGTTTAGCGCAATAGATAGCATGTATTTTTCCTAGATATGCCTTGTTTGGCAAAAAGCAATTTCACCCGTCTCTACTCATATGTATCTTTGTTTGGTAGATTGTCAAAAAATCTATACTTTAATACCCCTTTTTATGCCCCCTACTAAAGCTTTTACACCTTAATATATATAAGTAATTATTTGTTTGGAAGTAACACTACCCACCAGTCCAAGTTTCACTCAGATTTTTAAGTATGACACAGCTAAGCAAGCAAATTAGGTAGTCGTTATTTTCAATCCCTAACCATGCGATTCTCATTGAAACAGACATGGCCGAATACGCCACAGGCACAGCTTCTCGTCACAATCAACAGAGATCTGAAAACAACCGCTTACCAGAAATTAAACATACTCACAGCTCCTTCATCAAACACATGGGATTAAGAAGTTGAAAATTCACATTGGAACTAAAAGAACACATAATATTATGATTATAAAGTTCATAATAATAATAATAAAAACTCGCGAGGACACAAAACTAGAGATGCAATGAAATGATATCAATACCCAACCCCTCCTCCCTTCCCTCCCAAAATCAACAAAACCACCCCTTTGGACGGCTCTAGTAGCACGGGAAAACCCAAAGGAGATACCCTTTTCATCACACAAAATGGGGCTCATCTCTCCGCATCCCTCCCTCTCAACTTGTAAATAAACAAAAAACCCAAACTCACTCAAAAAGCCACTATCTCAAGAACCCTTTTCCGGTTCTTAACATCTCTTTCTGGGTATATCGTAAAACCAACTTCAAATAACAACTAACAATGATATTAATAATAATTTAATAGTAGTAGAGACGAGAAGTACTACTAAATCCTAGCTGCAAAACTTAAGGGCATGCAATATTGAGGGGTGCTGCAACTTTATCAACGAAACCAAATTTATCATCATCCACAACCAGCTCCAGATCACAATCACCAAAATCACAATCAGGAAGGTCACTCGGATCATCTCCTTGAATTCCATGGATACTCAAGTCATCAATTGTGCAATAATCATCCATAAGCTTTCCAAACTCATCCACAAAAAGATAATCCATTCCCCCTCCAAAGTTGAGCTCCTGCTCAACCGTACCAGACATCAGTGGCTCATCAATGAAGCCACCCAAATCGGGTATCTGCAGATCTGCAAAGTTAAAACCGAACTCTTCCTTGATCAAATCATCACAATCATCATCCACATCTAAAGTGAACCCCTCCTTTACGGGTTCCCCACAATCAACGTCAATGTTCGAGGCAGAAGCAGAGGCTGAGGCTGAGGCCGAAGCAGAAGTATCCAATTCGAGGACTGAAGAGGGTGACGTGTGCGATAAAACACTCTCAGATCCATCAGAGGAAGCAGCAGGGTCGGTGTTGTGAGAGTGTGAAGCTGCAACCGAACAAGACAAGTTATTGCTCTTCTCAGTACCAGCCGCAGCCATGGCAATAGCGTCGAACTCGATCTTCTTAGCATTGTAAGCATTGGCTGCTTGTTCAAGAGTGTCATAAGTACCCAACCACATCCTTGTTTTAGTAACAGGATGCCTAATCTCAGCAGCCCACTTCCCCCATTTCCTTTGCCTGACACCTACTGGTTTCGAACCAGCTGGTCTTCTATTACTCATGGTCTTAGTCAAAACCCTTTTCTTCGAGATAGGGGTTTTGGGGACAAGGGTTTTGCTTCCATAGTTACTGTCTTGACAGGAGCTCTCTGGTTCACTATGATTTGATTGAGCGGATGCAACAATAGGGATAGGAAGTTTGATCTCGCGAACAATACGCTTTCTTTTCCGGACTTTGCCGTAATCTGGTTCATCGTCGCTTGAAGATGAATCAGTGGCATAAGGATCATCAACGATAACACGGATTTTCCTCATCATTTTGGACTTCTCTGAGGAAACAGGAACGTCGCTTGTTTGGTTTGTTTTCTTAGTAGCTTTTTTGCAGGTTTTATTTGTTTGATTCAAGGACTGTTTTCGAGGCTCTGGCATTTTTGCAAAAGGATAAAAACTCACCAAAACCCCTTCAAAAAATACCGAGATAAAAGCTCAAAATAAGGGAAATCAGGGAAAGAAAATGACGAAAAATTAGGACAGTATCAAGTAAGAGCCCCTCTCAAAAAGAGAAAAAGATAGAAAAATCGTTGTTTTATAACAAAATCCCCGAAACACACCACTCGAGAAGAAGTCCTGTAAAACCAAAACACATCAAAATAACACAAATCAACTCAGATTCAATCCAAAAATATTTATAAAAAAAAAAATCCCATCTATGTACGGAATAACAAAATCGCACGAACCTCTTTGGTCTCAAAGGCATCGAAACGGACGGGAACACCGGATTCAACCTCTGCCGGACGCAGCAGAGAAGAAGGCAAGAGATAGCAAGCAAAACAGAGATTGAAGAGAAAGAAAAAATCCAGAGCTGCAACAGAGCCCCAATCACAACCAAATCAAAACAAGCCGACATAAATCTACTCCTCAGCCTGGCCTTCTCTCTCACTCTCGTTCCTCCTCAATACCGCTAGATAAGCAGCAAAAGAGCTCTTACCTCCTTCAAGAGAGAACAAAAGGCAAAAAAGCTCGTAAGATACTGCTAGATATAGCAGCAAAACAGAGCAATCGCCTAAAGAGAGTCAAGCGGATTACAAATCTATGGCCACGATTTTTCTCTCTCTACAACATGACAAAGATCGGCTAACAAGTAATTTATGGGGCTTTGCAGAAACAGTAATATAGAAGGAGAGAGAGAGTGAAAAACAGTGTAAAAAAACGATTGAACAGACGCAAATCTCTATAGAAACAAAAACATCAGAGCAAAAAAATAAATAAAATTAAATCTGATATTCAATAAATTAAAAATAATTAAAAATAAATTTACCTTTCCCTTCTTTTTTTTGGTTTATTCTATTCTATTCTATTCTTCCTTCACGTCTCTGTCTAAATCTTCCTACTCCCTCCCTCTGTATTTCCACAGTCTCTCTTTCTAACCTCTTCACTTTTTTTCATGCGGTCAAAACAGGCCATTAAAAGTGAGCCAGCAATATTATTAATTTATATATATATATATTTTTTTAAATGTCGTAGAGATGGTAATTTTTTATAAATTTAAATTATTAGCTGTCATGCACATCCATGCCGCATGACCATACCATCCTCCATCTCATGCATACCATGCTCTGTGCTGCACCGAGGTTCGTTACTAAAAACAACCAATTAATGTCAACATCGCGCCCAACCTCGCGTCTCTTGCACGCCTTTTACGAATCCACCCCCCCACCCCCAAACTTTTTATTCAGCGCATTTTGAGTGTCTTCCCACGCTCGTATTAGTCGCGTGAGATAATGTGCCTTACGTTGCAGCTTTATATATGGCAAACGTAGCGCCGCGAGCGGCAACGTACAGTCATTTGTCAAAGGAGTTTCTGGTGACGTGTACAGCTTGCTTTTTGAGTCCTGAAATTCCGCTAATTTACAAACATGCCACCCAAAAGTCTTCCCAACCCCCCCTGATGAGTCATATTAGAGAATTTTCGGAAGGATATTTATTTATTGCGTAATAAAATACCTTCCAAATAATATTTTTTTGACTCTTTAAAAAAAAAAAAAAAAAGTTGATTTGTTTACTTTTTCAATTAGAGAGAAAATCACGGGGACCTTAATGCTCTGGGATTCTGGATTAATTAGTTTTCATATTTAAACTAACTTACCAACATCTACTACTTTTCCTCCTAAATATTTTCATTTTATTATTTCATCAAAATATAATTTTTTATATGTTGCTAAAAATAAATATGAAAAGAATCTGGAAAAACGTGATTTCTTAACTTAATAGAAAAAATAAAAAATTCAAATTAAGAAATTCAGTAATTCTGTATCTATTTTTAACACATTCACATATTAAATAAATTAAAAAACAGAAATAATTTATTAATTAATATATCTTTAATTCGGTCCCAAGAAACTAAGGAATGTCATGTTGAGTATAGGAAGAAAGATATCAACAAAAGAAGAATATCGATATTAAAAATTAAAATAACGTATATCTATAGATATAGATATATATATATATACATGCAATTATCTTATCACATCAAGATACAATAAATAATAGTTATAATAACCGGACCAGAAAGTCGCTCCGGAATAATTTTTTTTATTAAAATAATTTTTTATTTTATTTTATTTTTATTTAATTAAATTTTTTTAAAAAATAAATTAGAAACGATATTAAAAATAATTTTTTAAAAAAAAAAAAAATTTGAATTCGAGATGTGCTTTTAAAAGAAAAATTAGAAACAAAGTATCAAAATATGAAAAGAAAAAATTCGGCCACGTGGAATGACCCAGTTAACAACTCCGAAGAACTGAAACACGTCGTGCGTCAAAACACAATAACATTACCGCCACGCGGGAGGTCACACGGGCGATCCGCGTGCCCAGCGATCCAACGACCCAAGATTGATCCAGCGCGCGTGAACAGCTTAGATTCGTTCTCTCCTTAGGCGTGATCTGATGGACGAGATCAATTGCAATGAACGGTCCATATTCGTTTCCTTCTTAGGCGTGATCGGATGAACGAGATCAATCGTGATGAACGGTCAACATCGACACGGGATGGGTATAAATACCTCGCGTCGCAGGGGAACCTAAACCTTAGCCACCAGCTCTCGTCATAGAAGAAGAACCAAGCGCCGAAAAAGGAGCCTGACAGCCGACCGCTGCCACACCAGAGCTACCGCCGACCGCCAAAAAATATAAAATTTTTTCCTACTCGCTTGGAATTCGATTATGAGCATCCATGTAGCCAAATCGGAGTAAGAAGGACGACGGGTGAGGCAGAAACTGCGGGCAAAGCCCTGCAGAGCCGCCGTGGCCAAAACCCAAAAATTCTTATGATGAGCTCATTCCCACTTTCTGTTTTACATGATTTTTCTATCATTGTGTTCACCATCCTATTTTGTAGAGGCTAGCCAAAGAAAGAATCTAACATATTTTTAGGTATGGATACGTGTAAAATCGACCAAAATCGGCAAAAATCGACTAGGTCGAGGCAAACTGCCGCCATACCGGAACCCTAAAATTGGCCAGAAAGAGTTTCGGACACCGATTATAGATTTTTTTGGGTATTTTTAGATATGTAACGAATGTTTTAGATTTTGCAGAAAAGATTAAGGAAATCCGGTACCCGTTAGGATGCGTGATAGACAACGCAATGTCTCGAAACACTGATCCGGGTAAACATCCCTCACCCTATTTTTTGTTACGGTAAATTGAGGCTTAACGATGTATAATTTTGTATTTTTATGAAAAATTAGAAAATCTTAGGTCACTAGTGGAGTTAGAATCAATTAATTAACAATTGTCCTGATTTTTTATTTCTTTTTTGGTACTGTCCTACTTGCTTGTTATCGTATTGTGCATGTTCTTAAATTATAGTTTCAATTGTCTTATCGATTTATTTGATTTATTCAGTTATCTGGTTACTTGATCTCTTATTATAATAAACTATATTGTCTGCATAAATGTCGTCTAGTTGATCTGTAAATACAATATGAGATATTAGTATGCATTTATTGGTTGTTTTGCTTGATAAAAATTTTTATGTGAAAAACTTACTGGGTATCCAAGGAAATGGTGGACGGGCCTGGTACATACGGAACCCTACTGTGAACATCACTTCAGTCGGTTGATGCTAGAAAATCCTATATTAAAAATGTTTAGGAGATATGGTTCACTTTTATACTGGACGGGATATCGAGGCAATGGAATATTTGGCGTTCATCACCGAACGGGATATAGGAACGGCCGGTTAATTGTTAAAATAGATATTGGATTCATGAGTAGGGGGACATCCATATGTACCCTAAAGGGTACCAGTAAGCAAGTAAAAAAGGAAAATTGTCGTCACTTGTTCTCTTATGTGTAAAAATAAAAAGTAGTATGGATATGGATCTTGATAGGTTCTTTTTGAAAAATGTGTAACAATATATATCAAATAAACGTCTTTATGTTAAATGTATTTAATTAAAGCAAGAACTCTATTAGTTATTTTTCTGATTTTTACTAATCTTCAGTTTTCCGTCTCTATGAATAGTGTGATAATCTTACTTAAGCAGTGTAGCTCACCATTTCAGATAAAGAAGAACATAATCCAGATCCGGATCAGCAAAAGGGTTGTGAGTAATTAACCACCCGAATTCCCTTTAAGTGCTAGTAAAGACTGTCCTATGATGCTTATTTATTTTTCTTTTTATTTAATTATCGTTTGACTTTTAGAAGGGATATTCTTGTATCCTTATTGCTCATTCTAAATTATTATATAAGGAATGTAAATCTTAACTCTATTATTCACTTCCACATTTAAATTATAAATTCATTTTCTTTAAAGTTCTAGCCCTTTACAGTTAGTATCAGAGCCGCATTTCTCGAAATTATTCCTTACACAAAAACTTAAAAATACCAATGCGGACTATCGCTCAACCATTCCTTATGAAATACAAGTACAAAGATATGACGAGAGGAAGACACCTACTAAATTGAACAGCCCATGATGGTTCACTTTGAGAGGATGTTGACCAACTATTTGAGATACTGGATAGACTCATCTTTGTCCAACAGGACTGGGAGGAAAGGAGGAAGCTACCTGACCCTCCCCCACTGCCATAGTTTAAGCCACCCTTGCAGCGGGAAGATCCTGAGCCGCCCCGGTAAAACCATACTCCTCTACCGTACCATCTGGCATCGTCACAGTATAATTGTGCTCTACTACATCATCTGGCATGTCACAGTACAATCCGGTGCCTCTACCGTATCATCTGGTACCACCACAAGGCCACCCGGTCCCTCTTGAGTATAATCTAGTCCCTCTTCCACGGGACCCAGTTCCACCCATGATGGACCCAAGTTATATTGAAAGATACAAACGGTTAAACTCATCTACTTTTACAGGGGCATCCTCTTTTGAAAAACTCGAGTATTGGTTAGCTGAGACAAAGAAAGCCTTCACAACTCTTAGTGTGGTTCTCGAATAAAAAGTTGTATTTGCCACCTACATGCTTGTGGGAGAGGTAGGTCACTGGTGGTAGCTTAAGTAGGCCACCCTACCCGTTCCAGTTACTTGAAAACAATTTCTGATAGTCTTTAATGCAGAATATCTCCAATAGTACCTCTAACATTTGAAGGAAATGGAGTTTGCACACTTAATCCAGGGTGATATGACTATGTCGGAGTATACTTAAAGATTTCTAGAGTTTGGCTGGTATTCCCCTAAGAACATAATAGATAAAGGCAGGAAAGCAAGAAAGTTTAGTGGGGCCTCTGTCCTAAGATTATATAGCAATTATATGTATTTGAGCTCAGTAATTACTCAGCTATTTTGGCAAAGGCACAACTAATAGAGAGAAACTTTTGCATCTTTCCTCCAGCAGTCGGGAATCCCATACTCCTAGTTTCACACCACAAACTAGCACCCACTACACTAGTTCAGCAGAACAAGAGATCTAGGCCAGTGATTCAGGCTTCTCCTTAGGCTCCGATAAAAGAACGTGGTAGGACTTGCCAGCACTGTGGCAAGAATTATGGGGACCGACCCTACTATTGCTTTAACAATACATGCTGCATATATGAGAGTGTCTAACAATACGCGAGAGAGTGCCTGCAAAATCATAATCAGGCCAAACCCCTTATCTAGGGCAAAGCTTACAACCTCACTCAGTAGAATGCTAAAGCTAATCCATACGTGATACAGGATACGTACACTATC